TTGTTGTATGGAGTAGTCTCATATACCAGGAGTTATGTTACACAAACCCGGAATACGAGATACATGAATGTATGGATACGATAATTTTTAAAAAAGTAGGACATCCATGTTAGATTATTTAATAATATATATGTGGCCCATGTGATTAAAGGGTTGGTTCTAATTAAGGTGGTCCAAAATGATGGTTATTAGGCTTAATGGATAAGAGCCAGTTAGGGTTTTAATACCCTTCCTCTGCCTTATAAAAGTAAAAGGAATTGACAGCTTAGGGTGAACACAGAAAAGAAAACAGAACAGAAAGTGTGACCGGTGCCTCAAACACATACGGCGATAGCTTGTTTGAGAGAGCTCATAAAAGAAACTCCTGTAGCTGTTGATTATTCTCTGACCATTGAGAGAAAACTTACGGACAAAAGGATTTGAGGAGAGAAAACTTACGGACAAAAGGCCAGAGGAAGAAACATAGATCTGATTTTACGGTGAGAATCGAATTGCCGCAACGAGGTAACCCATAACATAGATCTGATGTTATGGATCAAGGTAAACTTCCTCTTATTGTCTATTTCTATCAAACAAATTCTATGAATAATAGATCTGGGTTATATTAAAGATTATTTAACATGTGGTATCAGAGCTTGTACCTGTTCTAGATTTATTTGATAGCGTTTTGTTTGGCTTAATTTATGGAAAATTAATTTCATATTGTGATGATTGAACGAAGCCAAAATTATAGAAATTTGAAAACTGTTTGTTTCAAAATTATAGAAATTTGAAAACTGTTTTTTTTCATAGCTTTCTATTAATATTATTATGCTGTATTTAGTAGAGAATTGGTATGACATATTATTGGTTATCTCGTAAAGCTTTTGAGATCTAATTTCAATCTCATAAAGTTTTGCATAAAATCACAGTTTAATGAATGGAAAAACTTCGTTAGTCACCCAAGTGCGCCTTGTTTGGATTGTTTAGACATGTGATTATTGCAGTTTTTCAATTGTTCATATTTGTGTTATGATATTTGTGTGATGCCGTTATATGACATGAAAGTTAAAATTGAACAATTGAGTTCGTTGATTATAATTTGTTAGGTTACCCAAAGGTAGAACCATTAATTATAATCAACGGCATTAAAGAGATTTATCATTGTACTAATTAATATGGATGTATATCCAAAGATAACATGCATATTGTATGGAGCATTATTGAATAGTTGAATGAAAAAAAAAAAACGTAACTAGATTCCAGAAAAAAGCATGGGCTTGCTTCTCTCTGACTTGCATAAAGGCTCGCAAGTTGCTCCACAATAAAAGTCTATTAAAGTATTTTTCTTCTTGGCATCATTATTGATTAAAGCATTTAAATATTAACCAAAGGTGAATCTAGATGCATTAATTAAGTTGTTATTTGTATTTTGAATCCATTTTATGTTTACTCAAAGCAATTAACGTGTATGAGTATATGTTTTATGTTTTGCGGCTTCCTTTAACATGTTTTGCTATGGGGCACTGGTTGTTAAAGTTTAATGGATTGACTATGGTGCTGATTGGTCCGAACAAATCCATTATTAGTTAGGAGTTCTGGACCTGGATCTGGCATTAGTCTCTGAAAAGCCAGCAGCCATTACAGAGACCAGCACCGAAGCTGACAAGTCTCATTATGAGGCTTGGGAGCAATCTAACAGGCTAAGTTTGAACTTAATGAGGATGACAATGGCCGAAAATGTTAAGCCATCAATGCCCAGAACAGACAATGCTAGAGACTACATGCTGAAAATTAAGCAATACTCCCAATTGGACATAGCTGACAAGTCCATCGTAGGATCCTTGATGAGTGAGCTGACAACCAAGAAGTTTGATTGGTCACAATCCATTCTTGATCATGTGACTGGCATGCAGAATTTGGCAGCCAAACTGAAATCAATGGGAATGGATGTGAGTGAATCCTTTTTAGTTCAATTTATTATTAACGTTCAATTTTTATTAACTTCACTCTCTTGGTTTTTGGTCTAGTTCCAGGTGAATTACAACACCCTTAAGAAAAAATGGGAACTTTAGGAAATCAAGGCCTGTTGATACAAGAGGAAGGGGAGCATTAAAGAATTGGATAGGGACACTCCGTCGAATCTCACTTCATAATGGAGCTAGCGCAGCAACAACAAAATCATGGGAAGAAAGGTTAGAATTAGTACCAATGCCCCAATGAAGGTTTAATGAGGGCCAAATCCGTAGGGAATTGAAGTGCGTACTTCTGCTTTAGGAAGACGATGGTCACTTCCAGAAGGGACTGTCTAAAAGAAGATTTGGTTTGAAGAAGAAAGTATATTTTATGTTTTCAATATGTTTGAATCAATTCTTATTGAAGTAATGCCTAATAATGTGCCTAATAATACCTGGTGGTTAGATTCTCGTGCAACTACTTATGTGTCTCATGTTATACAGGGATTCCTTTCGATCCAATCCATAAATGAAACTGAAAAGTTCCTATATATGAGGAATAGAATGAAGGCACGAGTAGAAGGAATTAGGACTTATAAATTGATCCTGGACATTGGTTATTATCTGGATCTTGAAAAGTGTCTCTATGTTCCTGAATGTGCCGGAAATTTAGTTTCTGTAGGGAGGTTGGATAATGTTGATTTCAGTTTTAACATTTGTAATGGTGTTTTTTCATTATACAAACATAAGTACTGTTATGGTCCTAGTACTTTGATTGATGGTTTGTATCGTTTTAATCTTGATGCTGAATTTATTGAATCCCTGTTTATTTAATGTTGAACACAATACAAGTATTAAACATAGTGAACATAATGAATGTTCTGCTTTCTTGTGGCATCAAAGGTTAGGTCACCACATATCCAAAAAAGGTTTGAGCGTTTTAGGTGAAGGGTGGGAATCTTACCTCATTGGATATTCACTGACTGAGATGGTGTGTATAGATTGCATAAAGGTTTAAGCAAAACTAAGCACATATTTAAAGAATCAGCACAAAGATAGCAGTGAATTGCTAAAACTTATACACACTGGATATATTGTGTCCTTTTGATGTTCCCTTCTATCGGGGTGGTGAAATATTTTATTACTTTTATCTCAATGATTTCTCACGGTTACGGTTTATGGATATTTTGCTGCCATTGAAAAAGTCTTAATCCAGTGGATATCCTTGAGTATTTCATTTAATGAGGTTGAAATGCAGTTAAATAGAAATTATTAAAGTTGATGGAGATCTGGATAGAGGTGCGTGATATTATGCTTAAATTTACAATGAAAATGCGACAATGTCCAGGTCCATTTGCCAAAGTTCCTTGAAAGTCGTGGGCATGTGCACAATACACACAATACACAATGCCAGGTACACCTCAACAGAATGGTGTAGCTGAAAGGCGAAATCGTACTCTTATGGAAATGGTTAGGAGTATGTTAAATAATTGTACTGTACCTTTATCATTATGGATGCATGCATTAAATACTGTTGCATATTTACTTAATAGGGTTCCTAGTAAGTCAGTTCCTAAGACCCCTTATGAACTGTGGACGAGAAGGAAACCTAGTCTGAGGCATCTTCATGTTCGGGGTTGCCCAGCGGAAGTAAGGATATATAATCCACATGAAAAGAAGCTTGATGCTAGAACGGTTAATGGATTTTTCATAGAATATCCTAAAAAGTCAAAAGGGTACAGATTTTATTGTCATATTTTATTGTGCTAACCATAGTACGAGAATTGTTGAGTCTGGTACTCAATGCTCAGTTTATTGCAAATGGCAAAATTAGTGGGAGCAATGAACCATGTAAGGTGAATGTGCAAGGGATTCAGATTGAAAATCCAACTCAGGTGGATTTTTCTAGTGTCTCTTCTTCGGTTGTTGTTCCACTTGTCGTATCACAATTTAACAACATGGTTGAACAACAAAACAACATTCAGAACCCACAAAATGACCATTTAAATGATGAACCAGCAAATAATGAATAATTCACGAATGATCAAGTGGTTTCACAAGAAATAGCATTACGAAGGTCACAAAGGCAAAGAAGGCCACAACTATTTCTAGTGATTATATGGTTTACTCACTTGAGCATGAATGTGAATTGAGCATTGATAAGGATCCAGTCTCTTTCTAGAAAGCCATTGGAAGCGATATTCTTGAAAAGCTGGTTTCAATGCTTATGATAAGAAGAAATGCCAATCATATGAGTGATATCAAGTTGGATTTAGTTGAGTTGCCTGAGGGGTCAAAATAAGTGGTGTAATTGGGTTTTTAAGACCAAACGGGACTCTAAGGGCAACATTGAAAGATATAGGCCAGGATGTTTGCTTAAGCGTTGCACCAGAAGGAGGCTATTGATATAAGAGACCGTTTCTCCAGTTTCTAAAAAGGACTCTTTAAAGAATTATTTTAGCTTTGGTGCTCATATGCATCTAGGAGCTCACAAATGGATGTAAAGACAGCCTTTCTTTTAATGGTGACTTAAAGGAGAAAGTATATATGGCACCAACCAGGAGGCGATTTTGTGTCACAGGAAAGAAATTTGGTGTGTAAGTTAAGAAGGTCAATATATGGACTGAAGCAAGCTTCCCGTCAATGAGTATTTAGTTCAATATACCATTCACTTTATATGGTTTTTACAGAAAACACTATTGATCGGTGTGTATTTATCATGAAGGTGTGGGAGCAAGCTCATCATGTTAGCCTATATGTTATATGACCATTCTTTCTTACTACACTGACGTTGGGTTGTATGCATGATGTAAAGGGTTTTTCTCTCTAAGAACTTTGAAATGAAAGATATCGAGAAGGCATATGGGAGAGGCATCCTTTGTGATTGGAATAGAAATATTCCGTGATAGGTCACAAGGACTGTTAGGATTGTCTCAAAGAGCTTACATTGATAAAAGTATTAGAGAGATTCAGAATGGAAAAATGCTCCGCAGGGATAATTCCAATTCAGAAAGGGGATAGGTTCAACGAAATGCAATGTCCTAAGAATGATTTGGAACGTAAGAGATGGAGTCTATTTTATATGCATCAGTGGTTGGGAGCTTAACGTATGTTCAGACATGTACTCGACCGGATATTAGTTTCGCCGTAGGAATGTTAGGACGATATCAAAGTAATCCCGGGATAGAACATTGGAAAGCTACAAAGAAAGTACTTAGGTATTTACAAGGCACTACGGATCATATACTCACTTATAGAAAGTCCAGCCATCTAGAAGTGGTGGGATACTCGGATTTAGACTATGCCGATTGTGTAGATTCTAGAAAATCTACATTTGGCTACTTGTTTCTCCTAGCTGGGGGAGCAGTATCATGGAAAAGTGGAAAGCAGTCTATCATTGCTACTTTGCTACTTTCCACAATGGAGGGCTGAATTTGTGGGGCATGTTTTGAGACTTGTTTCATGCATTATGGGTTGCGGAACTTTTGTCTCAGGTCTAGGCATTGTCCGACAGTATTAGCTTAGACGGTTGAGAAATTTACTGATGTAATTCTGCAGCTGTCTTTCTTCTCTTGAGAATGATTAGGTACATCTTAAGGTGCAAAAAATGGAATTTGGATCGAGTACCTATCTGTGACAGAGAAGTGTAAAAACACAAATGTGTCAATGAGCATATCTGTTTTACTGATTCTTGATGATAGCGGCATTGCGCTACTAAGGCCTTACGTCCCAAATCTTTCATTGGCCATTGTTGATAGAATGGGCATTTATAGAAAAAGTCCTTGTTAGCATGATGTTTAACTTGTATATATTATATTATATATATAGATTATATTATATATATTATATATATATACATATGGTTGTTTTTGCTCATCATTATTGTGGACACTTGGAATTCAATTAAAGATGTGTTTTCTTCTTCATGTGGTTATCCCACCATTATAATTGTATACAATAATGGTTGCAGTGAGATAACACTTAAATTTGATTTTTTTGACCAATGTATTGTTTTGTTGGACTAGTTTTCTCCATTTAAAGTTTTTCTATGAATTTTGAAGTGGTTTTGTGATATATGGAAGAATCATGTCGATTAATGACTTGTGACCGCCGTAATCCGCATCATCTTATCTAATTAAAGTAAACATTGATAGAGTTCAAGAAATGCACATGCCAAGTGGGAGATTGTTAGACATATTTAATAATCTATATGTGGCCATTGATGATTAAAGGGTTGGTTCTAATTAAGGTGGCCCAAGCATGATTGCGGTTATTGGGCTTAATGGATTAAGAGCCAGTTTATGGGTTTAATATCCTTCCCTCTGCCTATAAGTAAAGGAATCGATAGCTTAGGGTTGAACACAGAAAAGAAAAACAAAATGAAAGTTGTGACGGCTACTCAAAACACATATGTAAAGCTTGTTGAGAGAGCTCATTAAAAAGAACTTACGTTAGCTTGTTTTATCTCTGACATGAGAGAACTTACGGACAAAGGCCAGAGAAGAAATTATAGATCTGTTATGTTACGTGAGATATTCGATATTGCCGCAACGAGGCTACTATAACATAGATCTGCTGTTATGGATTCAAGGCGTACATAGATCTGCTGTTATGGATCAAGGTACGCTTTCGCTTATTATCTATTTCTATCAAACAAATTCTATGAACAATAGATCTGGGCTATATTAAAGATCATTTAACATTCCATACGATAATTTTTAAAAAAGTAGGACATCTACACGCTTAGGACATACTATACTAAATAAGTAATACATTAATATTTCAAATAAATAAATAAGCATTTATAATAGAGCATAAACATAAAACAAAAAAAAAACTTAATTTCTTAGTTCAATGACACAAAAACAAATTAAAAAAAGCACTTTATTTTTTATTAGTAATAAAAAAAATCTTGGTTGATTAGCTTGGTGTATAGAGTAGTCTAATATACCAAGAGTTAAGTTGCACGGACATGGGACACGAGATACATGAACGTACGAGATATAATAATTTTTAAAAAAGTGGGACATCCACATACTTAGAACACACTACACTGAATAGTTAATACATTAATATTTCAAATAAATAAACAGTCATTTGTAATAAATCATAAACATAAAAAAAATTTATTTCTTATTTCAATGACAAAAAAATAAATTAAAAAAAAAACTTCATTTTTTATTAGTAAAAATAAAAAATCTTGGTTGATTAGCTTGGTGTATGGAATAGTCCCATATACCAGGAGCTCGGTTGCACGGATACGATACATGAGATACGGGAACGTATAAAATACGATAATTTTTAAAAAAGTAGGCATCCACACGCTTAGGACACACTACACTAAATAAGTCATACATTAATATTTCAAATAAGTAAATAATTATTTATAATAAATCATAAACATAAAATAAAAAAATATTTAATTTCTTATTTCAATATAATTAGTTAAATTCTCAAAATTATTATCACAATTCTCCAAAATTATTATCCACTATTGAAATATATTAATCGTAGTGTTGTAGATCACTACATGTATTGATTTTTTTGCTATTACATACTTTATGAAAAGACTTAGCATGATACTCGAAGGAGATATATTCTTAACATTGCAAATTATTTCAGTTATATCTCAATGAGATACAATTTCTTATTTCAATATAATTAGTTAAATTCTCAAAATTATTATCACTATTGAAAAATATATTAATCGTGTGTATGTAGATCATACCATGTATGATTTTTGCTATTACATACTTTATGAAAGACTTAGCATGATACTCAAGAAGATATATCTTAACATTGCAATTTTTCAGTATATCTCAATGAGATACAATTTATTATCTTATTATATAATTTTGCTATTTTTGAATGATGTTATAAAAAATTATTTCGTCTTTTAATATTACTTCGTGTATCGCGCAGATTCTAACACTAGTGAAGTTATAAAAAAAGAGACAGAAAGACAAAAACATGTAAGAAAAACAAGATAGGAATATTGCAATGTATTTTCTAAAGTGTAGAAATAAACTAACAATTTATAGCAAACTACTGAGATCAAATTATAATTTTTCTCTTCAATCTAAAGAAAAGAGTAGCCCGGTTAGGGTCCGAAAAAGCATCAGACCACCTTGGGCTATCGTATGTAATTTTATCCTACATTATTAGAAAAAGCTGTTTTTCGTAGTTGGAATCTATGATCTCCAAGTCACTTGGCCATAACTCTATTTTTGCACTAAGCTGCCCTTCATGTAAAGGAATAGAAAGAAGAAGGAAAATAACAAATTTCTTTTTTTTTTTTTTCGTGAATGGGATAATATTAGTAATTGTCAGGGGAATTTAAGGTTGATTGGAGAGAGAGAATTTGTGAGGTTCTAAAAATTGTTTAGCCAGGAAAAAGAGGGGTCTCCATCATACCTCTTTTCGAAAAAGTCAATACGCGCTTTGTACACGGTAACACGGCAAAATTTTATTCTCTAGATTAGTCTTCAGTTGTTGTTGTTTTGCAGATTGAGGTGTCGAATAAATCAATTTAAAATTGAAACCAGGTGTCTAGTCAAAGAAAAAAAATCATTAGATGATTAAAAAAGTCTGACATGGGTATTAAGGTAAATTACATATAATCCTGATGGTTGTGGCAAACATAAACTTAGAAAGAGATTTTGCTTATGTGGTTAATATGCAATTCTTCACGCTCATTCCGCGGTAAATATAATGATTAACCTAGTAAATAAAGTTGGTAAAAAAACATAATGATTTTGAGCTAGGTAAGAAACTGTGGGCCTATTAAATAGGTAACGTATTTGAGCTAACAAAAAAAAACTGATTCTTTCTATTTATCACCTTTTTTGCGCTTTGATACCGATAGTTTAGTTAAGTATTATTGGTAAAAATGATTCGATTTTACCATAGCAAATAAATGTAAGGAGCAAATTTGTCTCTAACTTGCATAATTTCAGTGGTGTCTTTTTGTTTTCGCAAGTCCTCGTCCTTTCAAAATCAAACGTCTTACTTTATTATCTAACCGGATATAGAGCAACTTTACACATACACATATTCCATATGTGCATATATGTCATATGTTTATAAGAAATAACAGTACATTCCCTCCTAGTTGTAGTGGTATACAATTTATAGGGTTATAATTAGCTTTGGGTAGATCTTCAGAGAATCAAGCACCGGCGAACACAACGTTTCTTTCCATCCTTTTTTTTGCCATGATTGGAGTCGTTGCTACCTTGATGCTTCCTTGACATTGACCTTCTGTGTATACAAATATCACATCAATTATCAGCTTCTGTTTCTGGGTAGGCGTAAAGATATTATATTCTACCCCCTTTTTATCATTTTCTTATTTACAAAGCAAGATCCAATCATACCCTTAAATTGGTTCTTCGAATTCTTTTGTCAAATTGTAGAATCTTATTGGTTTCTCTGTGACATTCCAGAATTTTGGTTAACAAAGATTCTTCTTGAATTTACAATTTTTTTTCCGGGCTTTCATGTTATTCAATGTGACTGTGAGCCTTTTATAATTCCTTGGATTGAACAATTAGCATTGGTAATAAAATGATTTATTATTTTTGTTATTCATTTTGGGAAGTTATATTCCTTCGTTTCACTCAACTTATGGAATGCTACATTTTAAGGACAAAAAAGGGGAGAGAATAAGATAAATTCTAACACCCGGACTAAAGTAATCTGAAACCAAATCAAATGATGAGAGAATTGTCGACAAGGAATTGGATGCCTGTCCACATGCTACTCGAGCAAGCGAGTACCAAATAAAGTTATTCCAAAACTCCCACTTGAACAACAAAGCAAGGAGGAACCACGATTTTAAAAGAACTGACTTTGGATTCAAAAGCTACAAACAAATCTTAAAATATCCCAAAACCTGGCAAAATTTAAGTCACGAATTTCACAGACCACTGCTTCTATTTCGATACTAACACGCAATACTGCCTCTTCTACTACGATCCCAACCAAACTGACGAATAGAAAAAAGATAAGAAATCAAAGCCCTTACTCCTATACTCCATTCCAATCAAATGGCTGAAGTCCTGAGCCCTAAAGCCATAATGAATGGGGAATTCGTAATGGGCATCAGCCAGCTAACAAAGAATAAGTTATAGCACCAATATCGGATCCAAAAATTCACATTGCAGCACCAATGTCGGATCCAAAAATTCACATTTCAAATGGAAGACTGATTCCTATTTTCTATCCTAAGCACCATTATATCATCCCATCAAAACCTAAAATTTCAATGATATTAACTTCTAACAGAAAGAGTTGAAAAAAAAAAAAAACAAAAAACTAAATAAAATTTCATATTGGCCCAAAAACTAAAGCTTCTTCAACCTGGATGGCACAAGCCACCTAGCACACTTCTAAAAATCAAGCTTGGCTAAAACTTGTATGTGATTAAAAAATTAGAAATGAGAGAATACACATTGAAGGAACCCGAGGTTGGCTGGAGGGAGCCCTACGATAAGAAGTTGCGAGGAAGTAAATAAGCAGTAGCAGCCAAGTGGCAGCCCAAGTATCAATCCTATTCTGACTACTAGACAGCACTTCATTATAGCAGTTGTTTTTAAGTACACCTACAATATAGCACACATAAAACTCATACTACCATAAGACTATGGAACTAAAAAGAGACTCCAGATTTTGAATATTAACAAAATTAGTCATTCATAAGCAAAAACATCTGATCATCCCAATTGTTCTAGGTTCATAATATCAAAGGCATAAAGAAAATACCAGACATAAAAAGAGAAACTAACAAGCCAAACTACTAAACGGGAAACAGCGCAAACAAGTAGATAGTAATGAAAAGTGCCACAAAATAATGCAAAACAAGAAAAATAGACAACCAACCAAAGCTAATAACACCAAATGAAGATGTCCTAAAGGGAAATAGAATTCTCATCAAACTTATCTGCCCTGTTTCCCTTTTTCTTTTTATGCTTTTAAAATTCAGTTTGGTTGAGTGGTCCTCACTTGGCCATCATGACTTTAACAAACTCCTCGTAGTTGATCTGACCGTCACCGTCCACATCAGCCTCACGAATCATCTCATCAACCTCCTCATCTGTCAGCTTCTCGCCAAGATTTGTCATGACATGGCGCAGCTCAGCAGCAGAAATGAAGCCATTCTGATCCTTATCAAAAACCCGGAAAGCTTCCTTGAGTTCCTCCTCAGAGTCAGTGTCCTTCATCTTACGGGCCATCAGATTAAGGAACTCTGGGAAATCAATGGTACCATTTCCATCAGCATCAACCTCATTTATCATGTCCTGGAGCTCTGCCTCAGTTGGGTTCTGGCCCAATGATCGCATTACAGTCCCAAGTTCCTTAGTGGTGATGCAGCCTGGAGTGGAATTAGAAACCATAGTAAGAGACCAGTCAGGAATACAAGTAACCAAAAAAGCAACATAAGAAACATAACCAGAAATTTTGTAATTGTAGTCAACAAAACCTCCAACAACTAATTTACATAAAGTCTCCATTTTTAATGACAACCATTCACGGTATTTCCCCAGATTTGTTCCCTCAATGTTATCACTCTCCTAATAATCCCTTCAAGTTCCATACTCCTAAACTAATCCTCAAGCTTCACTTTTGTAGCACAAGCATTCTCCAATTCCCGTTCTAAAGATCAAACATGTGTAGCTACAAGGAAACCATTCCACAAGCATCCAAACCCCAAAGAGAACGAAAAAACAAAAATAAGAGCAGGACACAGTTAACGTGAAATTGCGTTACAAACAGATATTCATTCACAGATCTATCATTTTCAGTCACAGATAAGATGATCCACTTAAAACACCAAATCAACCATAATCCCCAAACGACAAACACAAACAGCCACATTCACCTAAAACATCCATAATGATATAGATATTTAACAATAAATAAATGACAATTTTAATTAGCAAAAAAAAAAAAATCAAAACAACACAGGTTTAAAAAAAAGATAAAAGAGATAACATCGAACCCTTCCAAGGAAATCAACAGCAAAAGCATAATCATTTACAAACAAAAATGAAGAAATCATAGATCGAGCACATAATCCAGAACAATGGCATAAACACAGAAGGTAAATTATCGCCACAAACAAAAAACAGATCTAAGGATAACAAAAGGCTGTAAAGGAATTCAAAAAGATCTATATATAATAATTTTAAATAATTAAAATAAAAAAAAACTCAGAAACAAACCAAAATGAAATTGTCAAATAACAATAAATCCTCAGGAACATCAACACCAGAAGTCATAAACAAAGCATAGATCAAAGAACAATGACAGAAGAACTATCAAATAAGAAAAGAAAAATGAAAATCAAATAATCACCGCAAAGAAGAGACCATTAGATCTAAGAAAAACTAAAGAAAAAACAAAAAAGAGAAAGAGATCTGAGGAAAGAGACCATCGCCGTCCTTATCAAATAGGCTGAAGGCTTCCTTGAACTCAGAGATCTGGTCGTCGGTGAGCTGATCGGCCATGGAAGAAGATGTGTGAGTTCGAAGAGGAAGAGAAAAAGAGAGAGAAAATATCAAAGAAAGAAACCAAAGATGATGATAATACAAGCGCCTCTTTGATCTGGCTCTTCATTGACTCTGATGTTGAAAATAAATAGGCAAGGCGTACGTGGGCCATTCAAAATGAAAGTGGGCCCATTTATCATAGTCCATCTTATGCACTAAGCATCTGATTCTCTCTCATCCGCACGCTATCCATTCTCCATACGAGCGTTAAAAAGAAAACCACAAAATATTATTTATTTTATCGACAAATACATAAAATTATTCATTTTATCAACAATTACGTAAAATTAGGGATAACTAATATAAGAACCCGCGCAATGTGTGAAGTAATATTAAACGATGAAATAATATTTTATAATGTTATTTAAAAATAATAAAATTAGTATAATAAAATGATTGGGAAATGCTTTACAAAATTATATCTCATTAAGATATGTAAAAAAAAAAAGCTAGAATGCTAAGATTGTCTCTTTCAATATTCTCTGAAGCCTTTTACCAAAGTATGAAATAGTAAAACTCATGCATAGTATATCCTAGACGTGTCAAAATGGATTCGTGTGTCAAGTTCGATACAGATTCGCTTAACATGCAACACAATTAAGGTGAACACGAACACGATCAATTTAATAATTGTATTTAATTTATCAACACGAACACGAAAGTTAGGCAAGTGACACGAACACGACACGTTTAACCCGCTTAATATCATAAACAGGTTAAGTGGATCGTGTTGACTCATATCAACCCGTGTAACCCGCTTAATATTATAAATAGGTTAAGTAGGTCCTGTTGATCTGTATAAGCCCCACTTAACCTGCTTATAACATTTTTAAATTTTAACTTATTTAACTTCAATCATTCATATATACAATGCATAAATTCTTCAAGATTCATAACTAAAATAAAAAAGTAATGCAACCATAAAATTTAAATATGTTTTAATTGGAGTATTTATATTTAACACTAAAGTTACCTCTTTATTCTTAAATAAACAGGTCGCTCGCCTAACCTACGTGTCAACTTGTGACACAACATGTTTATATTCGTATCATAAATGGGTGATTCATTTATCACACGAACTATTTAAACTCAATCCTAACCCATTTATTTCGCGTGTTAGGCGAATTGTGTTTGCATATCATGATCCATTTTGACATTTTTAGTATGACTTGTATGAAAAAATGCACACATACTATTAGTGTATTTTCCAATAGTGATAATAATTTTGAGAATTTAACTAATTATATCGAAATAAGAAATTAAGTATTTTTTATTTTATGTTTATGATTAGTATTGACATATCATTTGAGGATTTTTGAGATTTTTAGACTATGACTTGTATGAAAAAAATGACACACCCATGTCTTATTACGGTGATTTTCCGAATAGTTGATAAATAATTTGGAGGAATTATAACTAATTATATTCAAATTAAGAATTAAGTTAACTAATTATATCGAAATAAGAAATTAAGTATTTTTTATTTTATGTTTATGATTTATTATAATGATTGTTTATTTATTTGAAATAATAATGTATTATACATAGGCCGAATACATCATTTGCCTCCTGAACTTGCACAAAAAAGTCTTGTGGCTCCCTCTATTTTCAAAACGACCTTATGGCCCCTTGAAGTTACAAAATTGCTATAATTTCACACCTCTCCAGACATATGAGAATGCATGCATTTAATACGCACTGATGTGTCAAGAATACACAATAGAAAAGAGGACTTTGTTTTTCTTTTTTAATTTTTTTATTTACTAGCTATCACCACAAATCTCTTCTACTCGACTGTTTTAGGGAATGGTCCAAGGATATCAATTCCCCATTATGCAAAGGGCCAAGCACCTCGAAGAGGTTGTAAATATGTTGTTGGTTGTTTAGTCACTCTGTCATATTTCTAGCACTATTAATATGTTCTTACTTTTTGTTCGACATAATTTTTCATGGTTGGCCAATAATAATCGAGCAAAATAATTTTTTTTATAATGGCATCTGCTCCTTCATGTGCTCCGTAGAATTACCTCCCTTACTATATAGTCGGCCTGATCCTCGCCCAAGCATTTCAACGAAGGATGTGATTTTGATCTCTTATACAAAGTTTGTTGTTCATATGTGTATTTTGCAGCTTTCCTTGATACTTTGATCACCTCTGTTTTATCTGTTGGAGGTATTCCATGCTCTAGAAAATCCACTATTGGCTTCATCCGTCCCTGCTGCACTATGGTTTTCATTATTTGTTCTTGCTCGACGCTAGTGTGGGTCCCGTATATGTATGGCACAACCCAAGAGGGGGGTGAATTGGGTTTTCTAAAAATAAAAATTTAACTTTTAAAACCAAACACAGAATTCTGTTGCAGCGGAAAAAGTATGCGGCGATGGAAATTGGGGTTTTTCTTAAAACAATTAAAAAAAATTTAATATCTTTTACTCAACCACAACACGCAACTTCTGTTTCGCCAGCCCGGACAAACGATGCATTTGTGGAGAGGTCAAGTTATTAAGGTTTTAGAACTGTCCTCGACAAAGGCTCTATGCAGAAAATAGATTAAGACTTTGTAAGTAGAACAGTTATAGATTAGAATTCCTTCACAATATTTTATTCCAATTTCCAAAAAAACTACTTTTATAAAGGAATATTTCTATTACTTTTTAGAACTTCAGTTCATTTAAAGTTTAAAGATATACTATTAACGATCTTCCCTAATGTGAAATTATCTTTATCTGAATATCTGAAACTGCTTTAACACAAGCATTCTTTAAAGCCCAGATTAGAAAACTATTTAAAACAACAACCCAAAATGGTGGAGATACTGAAATTAGGAAAGTAACATTTGGAACTTTGGTATATTCACGTATCTAAGAAGTTCATGATTTGTCTATATGTTCAGTAATAGATAAAGCTTTGATTCCAGTTAGAAGCAATGCGAAAAGCCATTAACAACGTTATAAATTTCCTAAAATCATTAAAGCCCCCAAAAAAAATAAAAGGGAGTAGGTGTGGAGAGTTATAATAATAGATAAAGCTTATTCCAGTTTAGAACATCAAAGCCATTAACAACTTTAACATTTCTAAAATATAAACAAAAGTGTGAGTAAAATAGTATCAAGCAGAACTTCATTTAATGGTGAAGTCTAAAAAAAGTGTTTGAAGTGGATGGCACTGTAGCTTCGTCTCTCCCAAGAGCTACAGTACACTATAGCCATGTGATCCCTCTGGCATCTAGAGAAATGGTGGGTGGGAGTCTTTGCCAGCCTTTGACCTCACGCCTGCAGCATCTATTTGAGCTTCGGGAACTGGGCTTCATTTGGCATGCTCATTCTTAACATCTCCCCTAAACCTCTACTTTGTTTAGCTCAGCCACCACTTTTATTCTTTATTACCTCCCCCTCAGTATTCAAGTAGTCTATGTGTTTGTTCCTCATCACAGCTTCAACAGTGCTATTTGTGCAATTTTGTCATCGGTGCCGCCACCAACTAGCCTACCTTCTCCTTTACATTTTCTTCTCTCTGCGCTGATATTTTGATGCTTTTTTTGGCTCCAACCACCACTGAAATCTGCTGAACAACTGATCTTGGCATGCACCTCATCTTCTGTGTGTTCTCTATCTCAACGTCGCGCCTCCCCGGCCAACATTTCCGGCGACATTCAGACTGGGATATTGAAGACTACTTTTAGTTCCTTTCCAGAAAATTATAAATTTTCTAACCTTTTGTGGCTACTTACCAGTGTTGGTGTGATTACAAATCTTTAATGCAGAAAAACTGATTTTAATTAACAGTTATAAAATTGTTCGTCTCTCTTCCTAGAGAGTTCTTCTGGTTTTGGTCTTGTCTTTGACAAGTTTTTTCTCATGGCTGATGATAAACATATTTCTGTGCAGATGGCTAACTTATCAGTCACCGGTGAGGAAGATGATGTACTAGTTTTTGTAGAGGACGAAGAGCTCTCTACAGGTTCTGACACTTCTCTCTGTCTGGTAGGACATTTTCTTACCGATAAAACTATCAACTTCCAGGCTATGAAACAAACCCTTGCTTCCCTATGGAGGCCTTTCATGGGAATGTTAGTCAATGAGGAGGGGAATGGGTTTTTTCGTTTTCAATTTTATCATAAGGTGGACGTGGACAGAGTTCTTGATATGGCACCATGGACTTTTAACAATCAACTTTTGATTCTCGGTAGAGTTGAAGGTAATACCACTTTGTCTGAAATCCCTCTATTTGAAACTCCTTTATGGGTCCAGATTCACAAACTCGATGATGGGTTTATGATTGAACGAGTGGCAGTCCGATTGGGCAATGAACTTGGTTCTTTTCTAGATTCTGATCCCAATAATTTTACAGGGCCAAGAAGATCCTATATGAGACTGAAATATTTACATGATGTCCGTAATCCCATCCGACAAACACTGAAACTCCGTGCAAAGGCTGGAAATTGGTTCTATCCCACATTGGCATATGAAAGATTACCCAGTATATGTTTTCTATGTGGTTTCCTTGGGCACACTGAACGATTCTGTCGTAAGCTCTTGAATGAAGGAAGTGTTTCATTGGTCAGAAAATTTGGTCCGGAGATTCGGGTTTCTAACCGACGAAGCCTGCGAATCGGTGAACGATGGTTGAGGGAGGAGACATGTGGGTCCTGGGATACGACTATTCTTGATGATGGATTTGAAAAAGTGTGACATCCTACCGAGTTGAGTCTTAGCATAGAGTCGAGTTGAGTCCAGTTGACCAAACCCGGTTGGGGTAGAATAGGTTTATAAGTGGAGTTACTTGAGTGAGAGAAAAAGATCAAGCATGTGGGTGAGGACTTATTTGCATTAAAAGATAGATCAAGCTTTGGTATTAAAGTTGTAGCCTGTTACAATCTGAAAGGTACCAAGGAAGTTTTTACATAAAAGTCCTTTGGATTTGATAAGGCCCACCCGGCATAACCACACTTTCCCATTTCATCTTTATCTTCATCTTCTCATCTTCTTCCTTTCCCTCTCTCCACCAATTCCTCTTCCTTTCCTCTTCCACCTTCCTTTCAATTTTAATGGTAGTTAAGCCTTAACTTCAATTTTTCTTCTATCCAAGTAAGTAAACCTTCTTAAGTTCATAATTGAAACATTTGGTGCTATTGTTTTAGAATTCATAAGAATTCTTATTTATAGGTGAAGGGAGTTCTAAGAGTGTAGAAACAAGAAGCTAAAGAAGAGCTCAAGCTTTTTGGAGCAAAGGTTTGATATCTCTTTTTCTTTACCATTTTCTTTGTATGAGATTTGTGTGGTGTGTTGCTATGAGACCATATTGCTTTATGTGAGTGGGAGGACTGGTAATGGTGAGAAAACAGGAATATGAAGGAAATATTGAGTTTATTGTTGAAACAGTTTTGCTGGAATTTTACCAGTAACTTCCATCTTGAAGACCCCATTTGAATAGTTGGATATTAACGTGTCTTAGAAGAGTTATTTGTTCCTCTATGGTGAATTAGCTTAACATGGGTTTTTTGAATCATTCCAAATCGGAGTTGTATTGGAGAGATATGACCCAAAGAGTACAGACTTGTGCAGGTTGGAAAATGCGAAGCTGCTGCGCCGCGAATCGCATACGACTCCCCTTCTCCCCCGACTTTCATATATGCGCGCTCGCGACTTTCACCTGAAACTCTCTGGACTCTTTATTGGCACATTCTTGCCGCTCGGGTGACTTTCAAGTGCGGCGCTCGCGGACTTGTGCTCGCAAACTCTCTGGACTTCTTCATTGGCACTTTCTCGGGCTCGCGACTGTGAAGTACGCGCTCACGCGTACTGCCCGCCGAAGCGATCGCGACCTTTCATCGTGCGCTCGTGAATTGTAGCCTTTGAGAACTCACTGTCTCTCATTTGGCATTTCTCGCGCTCCGACTTTCAAGTACGTGCTCGCGATACTTGTGCCGATAACTCACTGTTCTCTTTCTTTTGCTCATTTCTACGCGCTCGCGACAAACGCGCTCGCGACTTGTGTTTTCATGCACTTTTGGACTTCTTTTCAATGCAATTGTATTTCCTTTGCTTCACTTATATGTGCCTCCAATCATTTTAACATCAAATACAAACATTTAGAACATGTATCAAAACAACATGCAAGCATGCAAATTGCATGTGAAATCAAATAACATTATTGAAGTCTATGAATATTACATATGATGTTGTTGTTATATTATTGACATACCAACATATATGCTCCATTGAGTTTTAGTTAGAACCATGAGATAGCTACGCGACCAAGGATAGGCAACTGCACCCCATACAGTTTGGATACTCCGGCTACAGGCCGTTGAGTGGATATGATTATATATGGGCGGCCATAGCAGCCAAGCATACAGTATTCATCCAGTTTCATACAGTTTTTCTTATCACTTCGGTTTCACTATAACCTTATGGAGCCATACAAATATTTTGACATAACATTCCATAAATCATACATTATTACAAACAGTACAAAAGATAATCAAGGTATCATGACAGTATCATGATGTGCGTGCTTATATGTGCCATATGTGGTTACATAGTTCTTTCTATACATGTATGTGTTTAATTGTTTCTTTATATGTTGAGATATCCACTGAGCTTTATTTGCTCAGCGAGTTACCTGTTTAACTCGCCCGTAAGAGAGGTCAGCTTACAACTGCTGCAGCGTTTCATCTGTAGAAGACTCAGTCTTTCAGGGTAGCTACTCATTTTTAAATGTATCTTTTGGTCTACCCTTTATTTATGGGCATGGTACAGGGCACTCAGTTGGGCCCATTTCATTTTGGACACTAGTATCATGTTTTGTAAATTATAAATTCACATCATTTTTGTTATCTACAACATCAGCAGTGCTATTTATACAACATACATTGATTGATTTCAGTCATGTCAGGGCCATACCAGTCAACCAGTTTGTAACGTCTCGACTCGGTTTATTCGGGTTACGGGTGGACCGGAAAGGACAATTTAGTATCAGAGCCCGGTTTAGCCCGGGCTTGCCATGCATAAGTCAGTATAAGTTGTACATGCCATGTCTCACCCTGCCATAACTAAAGCAGGTGTGTATTTTTTAGTGAGGAGTCAAGAAGGTGAGGAGCGCAGCTCACACGCCTCCAGGAGCAGTGGGTGAGGCTCCAGTAGCACCAAGTCAAGAGGTGCTGTTAAAGCAACTTGCAGATACTTTTAGACAGATTGCAGGGGTGATACCTCAGGCACCAGTAGTAATAGATAGAGAAAGAAAGCCCCCATTAGAAAAGCTTAGAAAATACGGTGCAAAAGAATTCAGAGCTAGCAAGGATGACAGTCCAGAAATAGCTGAGTATTGGTTAGATGGGACGTCAAGAATCCTGGAACAGTTATAGTGTACACCAGAGGACAAGTTGATTTGTGCTACGTCATTACTGATAGATGAGGCATACACATGGTGGAGTACTGTTTAGCAGAGAGTACCAGCAGAGCAGGATCAGCAGATGCAGCGTTACATGGCAATTCTGTCTGGGATGAATTGCAAGAACAAGTTCCATCACAAGGCTTACAGAGGCTTACCTAGATGCGAGAAGGAAAGAATTCTTATACTTGAGGCAGAACAGAATGTCAGTTGCCGAATATGAGCGAGAGTTTACCAGGCTCAGCATGCTATTATTTTCAATATACATTATGATTTCAGCATGGCAGACCATACAGTCAACCAGTTTGTAGCATCTCGGTCCGGTTCATTCGGGTTTACGGGTGGACCGGAAAGGGGTGTTACAATATGGGCTGTATTGGTGGCATTGTGCTGGCCGAGACTATTAGGAGCCTTGACAGGGCTGCTTTAGGGTTCGATGACTGGACCGTTTCCCCCATTATTCTCCAGACTCAGAGTGCACCCAGTCCCTATCAGTCAGATAGCAAGAGATTCAGAGGTGCTAGTAGTTCAGCTAGTTCTAGACCTTCCTTTAGCCAAGGCGCAGCTAGGGGTGCTAACACGCCAGCGGTATCAGTTGTTTCTGCTGGTGGTATCGAGGATTCAGCAGAGGAAGCTGGTGAGGGGCCACCAGTAGAGGTGCAGAGTCAGGCCGCGTTTATACTTTCCACCTTGTGAGCATTGTGGCAGACGGCATGGTGGAGATGTTGGCTGACAAGGGTGCTACTGTTTAAATTGCCTTGAGAGTGGCGGCAGCCGTCAGCCACCACTCATGAACGATAGGCGTTGTCCGCAAGAGGGAGCAAAGAGTTCCTCATCTCCACACTAGTTCTCCGATAGCATTGGCATGAGGTAAGACGGTTTGCCAGGAAAGCTCCGCCGAGTGCAGAGCACCAGTCAGTCAGGACTCTGCTAGACCGGATACTAGGGTCCCAGCCAGGGTTTATTGCTATGCCTGAGCAAGGAGAGATGAGGAAGCTCCAAGATGGTATAATATATCGGTAGAGAGAGATTTTTCCGTTATAGTGATCATACAGTTTATGCCTCTTAATTGATCCTGGCTCATCTCATTCATACATTAGTGTACTAAAACCTTCTACACCTGTTAGAAGTTGCCTATACTTGAGTTCAAGATTTGGTATGGTTTAGATTACTAAATCCATGTTTAGGAGACCTCGTAGTATACAACTCCGCATACAGTGCCGCCTCGCAAAGGATGCAAGGTCTCACATTAGATAGTATCAATAACGAGAAAGAGCTTGTCGAACCTGGACGCTATTTCTCGTGCAACAGTGCGTATTGCGCAAATATAATGCGCAGAATTTTCAGATCGCTGTTTCCTCTGGGGTATGGATTGGGGCTGATCCCAGGACATTCAGGCTATAGTTGATTTGTGCAAAGAAAAGGGTGACATTTATTACTACAGCAGGGGAAGAGATTTACAGTAGTCGGGGAAGCGTCGAGATTTTCTGAGGTAATGTTGAGTATCAGCCATGCAGCAAGAAGACTTAATTTCAGAAGGGTTGTTGAAGCATACTTTTGCATACTTGGTATGTGCATTACAAGCAGAGAAAGAACAGTCAGAAGTGCAAGATATACCAACAGTGTGTGATTATCCAGATGTGTTTCCAGAACAGTTACCAGGGTTACCACCAAGGAGGGAAGTGGAGTTTACCATAGATGTCTATCCTAGAGCAGCACCAGTATCAATTGCACCTCACAGAATGGCACCAGCAGAGCTAAAAGAGTTAAAGCTTCAGCTACAGGAGTTATTGGATAAAGGCTTTATCAGACCCAGTGTATCACCTTGGGGAGCACTGGTGTTATTTGTAAAGAAGAAAGATGGATCATTCATTTGATAAAGGAAAGAAAGATGGATCATTCAGAATTGCTTGACTACAGACAACTGAACAAATTGACAATCGAAGAATAAAGTATCCATTTGCCTTCGAATCGATGATTTGTTTAATCAGCAAAAAGGTGCAAGTATGTTTCTAAGATCGACCTTAGGATCGGAGACGATAACCATCAAGTTGCGGAATAAAGGAAGAAGATATCGCTAAGACTTACATTCAGGACCCGATATGGTCACTTTATGGAAATTTTAGTCATGGCCATTCGGTCTCACCAAAATGCAACCAGCGGTTTTCATGGATCTCATGAACCGCGTGTTTCATCATATTCTGGAAATCAGTTTGTGGTGGCTGTTTTATAGATGACATTTTTGAGTCTACCTCCAGAGACAATATGAACATGATAAACATATTGCCGGATTGTAACT